GGTTGCTACAAATAACGAAGTCATCAAATTGTAGATTGAAATAATTAAAAAAAAATTAGGAAATTTATTTCTTGTTATTTTTATTATTTTTTTGTTAAATACAATAAAAAACTACTAACAATTTTGAAACCTGCAAGTCAGCCACATGAGGTAAGTGGCCTTTTACGAAATTGCAACGAATTAAAATGTTTTTCTCTTATTTTCTCGTCTTGGCACTTCTCGTCTTGGCACTTCTCGTCTTGGCACTTCTCGTCTTGGTCTGTCTGCCAAAAGCGGTTCAGACTTCGTTCGGTTCAACTTGTACTGATCTCAGCAACCTGATCGCGTGCGATAAGCAGAGTAAATATTTGTTTCATTGAGTGAAAACCCTGCACAAATTACGTTGATGACTGGCGATGATGAAGTCCTTATGGCTTGGCTTGTTAGACTGTTACGGTGCGGCGAGTCCTTTAGATCTCAGCGACTGTGAGTTGACCTGAGAGCTGCTTAATTGTCGGTATTTGGTTTTAATAGTGGGCGCATGCACTTGATAATTGGGTTTTGCCATAAATTGGAACTGTTTTTTTTTTTTTTTGATTATTTTTATTTGATTTTAAGTATGGCTTGTGTACGTACATCGTAAATGTAATTAGTTTTTGTTGTTATTTTTTTAAATAGCCGCCGTAACAGGTTGCATTTCTGCAACTGTAACAATACGACCTGTGTTGATACAAGCAAACCAACTTCAGTGAAAACAAAGAAAAGTACACTGTAAGAAACCAAAATTTACTTAATAAACTGCGTGTGAAGTAATGAAGTAACAAGCCACCACAATATACATTTTTCTGCAGAACTGACAAGTCAATATGAAATACCGAAATTACATTACATCATTAAGAAAACAATTAGAAAATTTATTTAAAATCTTATCTGCAAATTAAACAAAAATCAAATTTTCCCTTGAGAAAATTTCTACTCACCATGTAGTTTATTTTATTATTTTGGTTATTTTTATTTTTTTTTGTTTCTGACCCAAAATATTACCACATTTTAATTTTTAGTTCATTAAAAAAATTTGTTCTTTTACAAGGATCACATAAAAATCGTATTTCCTTTCCTCTGTCATCTCCAATTAACAATTGTGAAAATAATTTTCTTACCAATTGGGAAATTATCTGGTCTAAACTTGCAGTATTCCATGTACTTACATTTGCCAGTTGTAATTAAAATTGCAATAAAATTCAACTTCTCTTAATTTTTTTTTGCATTTCGTACTTAACGAAGTTGACAGCTAAACAACTTGACTGCAGTCAAAATTTTATACACAATTTTCCAGTTCCGAACCATATTATTTGCAAAATTTTCTAAAATCACGACTAGAAACTTTGTCCTTGTATTTCATTTTATTTTGTTTCACTCTATGCATACACAAAATATCCTTTCATTACATGCACGTATTTCTACAAACCAAATTTTCAGCTTTCTGTCCTAAGGTCTTTGGGCTTTCCGTCCCCCCTCTAATATTGTATTGAAATAAACTTAAAGTCAACAAGCTCATTTCAAGATGATGCCACGGTTTGGCTTAACTACTATTACTGGGAGCGCATTATAAGTTTAATAGACAAGTAAGACAATAGACAAGAATAACGAGCACCTAATAAGTAAGACTTTATAACAAGGATAGAGACAGTGAGTAAAAAGTATGTACGATATAACAGATGATTAGGTAGATTATTTGACAGATGATGTGAGAGATGATGTGACAGATCATGAATCAAAACACTAACAACTAGTACGTAACAGAAAAAACAAAAGTAAATTAAGGAAATTTCTTAAGAAGATTAAGACCCACTCTATTATTGGATCATTTGTAACGGAAAACATAAAATAATTATACTTTACTTATTTTCATTTATATTACATATAATACCGAATTCAGAAACTAATTAAATACAAATATTAGAAATCAGAATTCAATTAAAATTCTTATCCTTAAGAGCTTAAATTCGGTAGGACTATAGACTTTTAACGTTATGTTAGCTTTACGAAATACAATAGCAGCTGCAAATTTGCGAACGAAAACTATTATATTAATTAGAAGTTAGTCCTACGACTAATGGTGATCTTTGAATATGTCGACATTATAGAGCCCACTTTCAAGAACGAACCATAGTTTTAAACTCAGCGAATTTCATATTACAGAAACATATATAGAAATATTAGAAATAGCTAAAAACAATTTTTAGCCGTTAATGTGACAACTCAACGAATTAGAAAATAGGTGTTCACAGGCGTAAGCCGAACTTAATTACAACTGTATATAATTTCAAGGTGGTAAGGTGGTAAGTATATGAAGCCAAAACTAAATTAAAATAGAAAATTTAAAAAAAAGGTTATGCTTACGGAATATGTAATCGTGTTTATTCAAAAAAGCATTAAAAGACAACATATAGAAGGTAGGATTACGAATACTACATCTTAGTAATAGACAATATTATAGATATTAAAATGACTGAAATCGATTAATTTTCAAAGGTCGTACTATTGAAAATCCAATCTTAGTCGTTAATACAAATGTTGTGGTTGATAGGCTAAATGATTGTTAAATATGTATTGGTGTGGGAAGAAAGTTAAATTGTTGAATAGATTGGTATAATTTTTGGAATTATACTGAGGTAATGATTAGCGTCAGTAGATTAGACGAAAGTAGTTTAAGTTTGGTGAAATGGTTGTTATCTTCGCAGATAAATGGGAACCTTACAAAAGTTCAGCATCCAAGCTTGACATATTTCGAAACTAGGTGCTCTTTTCATTTTTCATCAAAACAAAGCATTGATGGGTAGATATCGCGCTTAAGATATATATTATCTTATTCTGTGTAAATAGGATTTGGCGAAAGAAATTGAGGTTTAAGTTGCTTACAGCGGCGTTTTCACTTAACTTTAAAATATTACTGTACAAAATATACAAAACTAAGTCTACCACTTGTATAGTGTAGCATATGGTCTTTTATTCTTCTTAACTAAAATAATATCCAGACTCTATCTCTATATATTCAGTATTATGTATGGAAATATTGCAAAAATATATTTTTATAAATTTTTTTGAGCTTTATTCTGAGTTCTTATATATGTTTGCACAATTGTGGGCATTCACTTGACCATAACTTAGTAAATATCGGTTTCATAATACTCTGGGATCAATGGTTTGGGGTAAATATGCAATATCGGAGATATTTGTAAAAACAAAGAAAAGATTGGTATACTATGGTATATGCAAAGATTATTTTATAAATATGCCAATTGTAATGATAGAAAAACACACTACTACAAGTTCTTCAGGAGTCTCAAGTAAATGATGGCTTACATTTTTGATATATGATAAAGTATACCATTTGCTTTAGACACGTTGTTCGGATGTTATAATATAGAAGAAGAAAGCCATTTATAGATCTTTTGGTAGCTAAGTAATATGTGATGGTAACATCTGACACACAGCACAACGTTTTTGATATATTATATATATTTATATGCTATATAATCATAATTACTAACTTAGCAATAGTTATAACACATCTATTATATATATTCGAGACATTATGTATTCGAGTGAATTTTTTCAACTTAAGTTACCCTAAATTCTATGTAATAGATTATTATTGGTCGGCTGCATGGTTTTGCTATAAAAAGTAACAGTAAGAGGAATACATTGGATAAATTCTAGAAAAATTTTTATTGAATTTATGGTCCCATATATGCTTAATACATATCAATGAGGTGTATGAGAAAATCAAATTAATTTATTTATTAACATATATTGAAATTCAGCGACTTTGCTATCTTCAACATGGATGTAACCTGCCAGCTAGAAAGGTATTTGATTTGGTACCTTCTGATGAAAAATGGAATAGAGGTCATTTGCATATTCTATAGAATAATACTCGATCTTTCCGTTGATTATATACAATGTGCGACAAAAAGCTGCTAATTAGTCTGATGGAAAAAGCTTAGTAGATGGAGTCAAGTATATACCAGCTAACTTAGTAAGTAAATCCTATTTAATTAATCTGATGGAAAAAGCTTAGTAGATGGGGTCAAGTAAATACCAGCTAACTTAGTAAGTAAATCCTATTTAATTAGTCTGATGAAAAAAGCTTAGTAGATGGGGTCAAGTATATATCAGCTAACTTAGTAAGTAAATCCTATTTGGGGCAGATTTTTATATATTAAACCTTGCATTAGCTTTAGCTCTTTGTATAAAAGTTGTAGTAACTGTTATGCTTTCAAAACGCAGATTTGTAGGGTGTCTAAATTTTAATGTATGTGTTTACGTTTGACTAAAGTATAAGTCAAACGTACTCTTAATTAGTTTTCAAATATATTTTAAGATACTGACTAATTTAGTATAAGTCAAGCTGTCACTATAGCTTGACAGGTTTTCAACTGTGTTTTTTTTGCCAAATTACCATATTTTCAAGTTATTAGCACTTTTACGGTTTCAGTAGGCCTTGGCCCATTTCAAATTTTCTGCATAATCAAGTTTTGTTTATTTTGAATTCGGAACTTCAATGTGAATTTTAACTAAGAAAGTTCTTGAAGAAATATTTTCGCTGCAAAAGGAAAAAATAAATAAAAGTTTTTGTATCCTTAAATACAATTACTTCCTTTGCTTACTGAAAAATTGCTTTTCACTTTCCAATTTCTTTTTAACTTTCAATATTGAATTAAAAAGGTCATTGGGTAATTGTGGGTGGGAGTTTTTTGACGGAGAGGGGGAGGGGAGGTTAGGGTTATTGTTTAAAATATTACATACAATTTTAATATATAATATATTGATAAATAATTAGGACCATACTAGGGTACTAAGATAACAAAGGTGTATTGACTATTTTACGATAAAAATGATTTCAATATTTTAAATTTTTATCTTTTCATTGATTTATATGAAATTTGAATAGTATTTCAATTATTTTTAATGTACATAATTTAGTTTAATAATATAAATTATTTCGAAGCTTAATGTCCACATTTAACGCATTGACTGCAAAAACATGAAGTAAGAACTGGCAGCTTTTAATATCTATAGAAAATAATATTTCAAACAATAAACTTCGATTAAAATTTAAAATAAATGTATACCTTCAGGCAAGTTTCCAAAGATATATTTATAAATTGAAATCCTGTAAACGTAAACGGCTTTTGATTAAGGACAATAGCCAGGCGCAACAAATTCAGTGTTTGTATATTCTCAACTCTGTTTCCACTCGCAGTTAATATTCCTTCCCAGTCGCTGGCGTAGTAAGCTGTGCTGATATCATTGGTCTTAAATAGATATATAATAATATTAATGTACATTTTATATACATTATATTTAGAGCACCTTGTTCGTTAATGTTGAGCCAAGTTTGCATAAATACGAGAGCTCAACAAATTTAGCCAAAATCCAACAAACGTACTTGCAGCTTTCAATAGCCAACCCAATCTGAAGAGTATTATGTGTTATTATTATACTTATAAATGATCCTTAATTTACCTGTACAATTTCAAAGGCCATACTACAAATTAATAAGGAACTCATTGACATTATAATAAAAAATTGCATCGAATACAACTGTTGCACTTTTTTGCAGTATTTTCTTAATTTGAAATTACGTTTGACGAGTTCAATTAGCTGGTCCCTAAAGGCCATAGTTAAATATAATTCATCGTTAGCTTTCAAAGTTCTATAACCACAAGAGAGTATATCACGCTCTAGTAACTGAAATCTGGCATTTAGATGGAGTATAATCGTTGCCAATAAGTTACTCTCACCAATCATGTGAGCCACAATAATGACAGCTAAAGCTATGCTGCAAGCCACGGATGGTATATAAACTATCCAAGATGTATAATCGTATGGATAATCAAGAATAAATGGGAAAACTTTTTGTCCTTTGACAATTCCCACTATTGGTATTAGTACAAAAAATATAGTCGCGAATACATAAGAATAGGAGCATATAACCGCTGGTTTCAGGCCTTCCTGTATTTCCTTAAATATATGAGGAAAAATATTTCTGTAAAATTAAATCATTTTAATAATTTTTTAAATATTTTGAAGAATTCTTCTTGTATTTACTTCTCTATATAAATATCCAAGTAGAATTCTTCGATTATTTTTCTGGTAGTCGCATTACGAAAACGAAAGTTTATTATTCGTATTACTAATTCAAAGGATATGAGTAAGGATAAGCCTGCTTCCAAAGCAATTTTGATTTCATTAATGTTCGCATATATGCCAAGAATTTCTCCCATTAGCACGTAGATTGCAATTAGGATTAGTATGAAGAATTTAATTTTATACCAACAACGCGCGGATAATGTTGCATTATCTTTTAGTGGCCAGCAAGTGTTGAAGGCAAAAAGTGCACTTATTTGCCAGGTTATTGGTGCACTTTTTCCGTTCTTAAGCCGTGGCATGTAATGCATTTTGTTTTGAGGTCTGCTTTCGATATCTGCAACGAAAAATATGAGACTGAAAATTTACGCCAGTGCGTTTGCTTAAAATACTTTTTCAGAGTTAGTGCCTAAATGAAACTTTCATTTAGGTCTTAAATGCATTTGTGCGTGTTTCATTATTAATTAATTAATTTTAAAATAAAATGTTGATTAATTTCTCATTAGCAATTTTTTATCTCTTCATACGAAACAAAAATAACAATTTGAAACGCATGTATATTTAATAAGTTATTTACTACATTAATACAAAATTATAAATGTGGATTGACGTCTAGGCTATACAATCTTCACACATTAATTAGAACTTGCTGGAAATAATAAAGAGTAATAGTCACTCTGTTTTACCGATAGATCAATAATCCACCTACTACAGAACTGTTTAAAAAACAAGAATGGTATACTCAATATATGATAATTCTCTTCCAATCGACTGTTCTAATGCATATTTGGAGTAAGCGGGAGTTTGGTAGCAAGTGAGTGTCCCTACTTGCGACACCTAACCGAAAGTGTAAATGTTGTACCACGGGGGTCAGATGTTCACAGCTTTAGCTGTCGTGATCAACTGGGGTTGGCAGTGTAGTTGTGGCTGTGGTTATACCCAAACTTACGTAGGAAGAGTGATAGTATTCATTTACTATCATTCGTATTCATACCAGGTGCTGTGACTCAAAAATTAGCAAAAGTAGGATGGGCTTCGCTCTTATATACGGGGAAGTTATGGTAAACACATAATTTTATTTTAAAACCGGTAAAAATTCATGGAATTTCAGAACGGAGTCTATCGGAACTTTACTTTAAATAACAAGGTACTCTATCTATCTCAAAACCGTAGATGCTTCATTTATTGGGTGATATAGAAAGTATCCAAGGTTTTTGGTAAATTTTTCAACTAAATTTTTTATTGAAAATTAATTTTACGCAAATATACTCTTATTCTTATTATATTCTTATTCTTATTATTCTCTTACTCTTAAATATACCTCTTATTTTTATTCTTGTAGCTACACAATTCTATTGGTGAAAAACTTTTATCGAAGTTCATCGGCAAAAAACCTTGCCAAGTGCTTTTTAACGGCTCTTCGGCTAGTCCAATTTTTTTTTGTTGCTTTTATTGGTACTAAAACTGAGTTCCTAACTGAGTTTCGTCAATTTGATTCGAATTATTAAAGAAGTTTGTGGCCTGGTATTGTCATAATGGAACACAACTTCTTTTCTGTTGGCTGCTTCTGGTGGATTTGCTTTAATTGTTTCCTTTAATGGTCTAGTTGTAAGAAGTAGAAGATTTAATTAACCATTGCATTAGGAGTAGCTTGTAATAGTTAATTTCTTTTCAATTTCACCACATATAATATTATTTTGATTACTATCAAAAAATGGCTTGAACTATTTGTGGAGGGTCGCCGGTACTTGACCATGATCCCTTGCATTTGAGTCGTTTTTAATCCATCTTTCATTATCCGTAATGATTTGCTTTCTAAATCGTTCGATTTGAGTAAGGTTTCACTGATGGTAATTTGACCAATAAATTTTTTTTCCATTAATTTAGTTGGAGAAATCAGTTTAACTAGCCTACTAAAAATATATAGACGATTAGATCAAAAACTGACATAGTTGTGTCGCAGGCGAAAGAGCCTTGTTTGGAGGTAATTGATTAAATGTTTTTTTTATTTCCTATTTAATAAATTCGAATAATTTTTACATCGAATATATTATTATAGAAGCAATGTAAACACCATTTCATTTATAATACAATTTCTTATTACGAGTATTCAATTAATTCAGATGCTATTCAAGTACGACTTGTAATTAAAAGATATTTCCTAAAAAGTAAAATAAATCATTTATTGCTTTCATCAAAATTTCTTTGATTATTTTTCTCTTTGTTTATTTTAACTTAAAAGTTCTACAAAAGTTTAGAAATGAAAATCCCTGCATTGAAGTTCAAAACTAAAATAGATATATTTTCTAGATATTGCATTACTTTTGTCCCTTTTAAATTTCGTTCATTCTTAGATGACAGCCTTTGACAAACTAAAATACAAGAACTCAAAATCGTATCATTCACAAACTAACGAATTCAGTATTGAATAACCAAATTGCAAAGCCATTCAAACATTGATTGAATATTTCCAAATCCATGCAAATACCACGTTTGTCCTACCGTTTTGGAACATAGTGCAATAAGAAAGGAAGCAGTTTAGATCCTCAATCGAAGCCAAGTGCAACATTTCAATCGCATGGATTTTGAGAAGAATTCGTACTCGGCTGGCTAAAAATATGAAACTGTACAATTAACCAACCAAGGATGTTGGACCAATGCGACGTTATTGTCCTTGTTGCTGACATTCGTTTTGTTTACAGACATTTTCATATTCCAACATAACATTCAATGGGTTACCAAAGCCAATTGATGAATAAAGTCCACTCATGTGGCGAAAGGCTTTTCAATTTTGTAAATTGAAAGTTGCAACCGAGAAGGCAAAAAGTTCTAGTTTGATTCGTTTTTACATTTCCAACATTTTACGATTTGTCGTTTTAGGACGGATTTCATCGCAAAAAAATTATTAAAAATAAGGAATAGTTTTTCTATATTAATTAACTGAAGCCTTTTCAAAATGAACAATTGTAAACAGTTTAAGAGATTTTATAATATTTTTCTTAATTTTTTCTTTTTTTTTGCATTTTATGTAAACAAATATTTCTGTTTCATGCACTTGGATAATATTTCATAAAAGGATATTTCCGTTTTTATTTAAAAATGAAAATTATTGCTGGTTATGTATCTGCTGTTGCTCATTTGTACTTACTTCAAATTATTTGTGCCTTGGTTCGATTTTGTATGAGTTTAAAAGAAATTAATTAATTTCTTGTAAGGTTACTTTATTTGTTTCCGAAATGCCAAAGGATAACAGTACAAGCAAGGAAACATAACCTCTGCCATTTTTTGGCCAGACTGAAGCCAATACCTCGGCAGGACTTAAGGTGTTTTCTAAAGGTGGCAAATGTTCGCTTCAAAAATGATATGGAAATACACAAAATTAAAAAATTTTAAAATTGAAATTCAAGTGGTCAAAGGTCCTCTGTTTTGTTGGAAACTAGAGTAAGTAGCACATGCCAAGCACTCAGGGCAAAATATCATATTACCGACATATAAACATTTAAAGGAAAACACAGAAGTGCTGTATTTGTCTTTAGTTACATATGTATTTTGTCTCTTTTTGTAAAAATAATTAAACTTATCGCAAGAGTTAACAATTTTTGAATATGCCACAAAAAGGTGCTATATTTATTTCATTTTATATCGAACAGTACGTTCACACTATTACAATTAATTCGAATGTGCAGCATTGTATACCATTCTCCATACAAAAAAAAAAACTATAACGAAATACACTAATGTACTCTAAAAAGTGTAAGTGTAAACATGCCCCAATACTCCGTTTATCCGTTTACACTTCATAATAAATGAAGATCAATTAGCGATAGAAAACGAAAACTTATAGCAAATAAAAAAAACTTGAATCTAAGCATTTAATTTAGTAATGTTATAGATATTTATATATTATTAAAATGTAAAATATTAAATTGATTTTTGAGTCTGCTTTTGACAAAAGAAATTTAATTCTTAATATAAACTATAGTTGTCAATAGAGAGATTTTTATTGTATAGTAGCGAAATTACAACAATAAAAAATTTTTATTTTTATTTTTAATTAATTATCTATTATTTTTAATTAATTGTTATTGAGTATTGTCAAAAGGGTATTTGATGATGATAGGTATTATGCACAAGCTTATGTTAACAATCAGCTTCTTAAGCTGGGACTAAATGACGGTTTTAGAATGCTTATGCACTGGGATTGTTAGAAAATAAATTTAGTATTTCTAGGCGGCTTTTATTGAATATGGGTTTAAGTCTCGGAACTTCCATCTAGAGTTATTATTAGAATTATCAATAGACTTAAACTGTTTCGATCAGTCTAGGACTTGTTTCAAGATAAAACATACAGGATGTGTTTTAAAATTAGGGATCTAATTACATTATATCTAATGCTTTTATTAGATAGTTTCTTTTTTTATCCTTTCAATGTTGGTGATTACTGAAACCATGCATTCCACACCTCTTTTAAAGTTAATTCAATCAAATTAAATCCCCTTATATACAGTAATGTGTAAAGGTTTATTATAGTACCAAGGAGTTTAATTTCTGACTCATTTAGATGACAACAATTTATTATTTTCCTGTAATTCTGACATCCAAAAAAATAATACTTGAAAACTTATTTGAAGTATAAGCTTTACACAAATATCCCATTTGTACCCATGTAAACATGGGTGCCATCACTTAAAGTGGTAGACAGTTACATTTAAATTTAGTATTAAATCAAGTCTCCTGATGTAAGACCATTTGGTGTTTCACAATGCCTATTTTAATCTTTTTTTCTTTATTGAACCATTTTACTGCTCTTACTTTTTGGGTTACGTCCCGCAAAATCTTTTTCATTTTTAACGACGCAAAAGATTTTCGCTCAAACATTTTATTCTTCTTTCCACTGTCTTCGGGGTTTGTATTTATAGGTTAGCTTTGAATACCCAACAATTCTTCTTGTTATAGGGTGTGATTGCAGACTGCAGTTAGAATTTTTCACTGCTGCATTTTTGGGTCATGACCAAACCCCTTAAGTTGGCTTCACCCGACTTTATGTTGGATGTCTACTTGCCGTTCTTGGCTTCTAATACGATTGTTTCTTATTCTGTACCGACTAGTTTTCCTAAGAATTTTCGAAAAGTATTTTATTTTCTATTTGGAGGATTGGATCAAGTGTTAACATAGTTGCTTAGAACTTAATGGAATTTAGTGTGTAGTGGACGAAATAAATTCTGATTGATCGTGAGTACATGTGTGTGTTTCATTTAATTTAATTATGGATTATTGGTTGACTGAATATATAAGACTGCAACAAATGCTC